AAGTGACATGGACGACACCAGAGCTGGCATCGCCCTCTTCTAACTACCACACCAACGGGAGGACGTTTGAGCTCTTGATAGATTTAACATGCATCGCTCCCCTACCACTACAAAATGTTGGCAAGTGTCTGAAATTGTCTAAAAGTGGAGATGTTCCAAGATAATTCTAGAAGGCTCTCGAGCAGCGGTTCTTAAACAGTGATCCGCGGAGCCACGTTTATCTTCAATACCTTTTTAGTGGATCCGCAAAGAGATCTAATAATAGATCTCAAGAGATCTAATCATCCGTTTAATGTTAAAATATACATTTTTCACAGATTATGAAAAGTCTCGTTTAAAAATTGAAAGATATGCCATCATAAACTACACTGTGTGGCCAACCGTAAATACAACACCAAGAAAGACAAGAGATAGCAGAACAAAATTTATTTTGTAGATAACATGTTGACCAAGTATCAAATGATTAAATTTATAGACTTCTGTGAAGTGTCGTTCCTGCCAGAATATGTATCCATCCTGCCAGAATATGTATGAATATTGGAGCCGTTAGGGATTCAAGAAAAGATTTAATCAATTTTAATATTAAATCCTCGTGGAGGTAAATATTTACGATATAAAATGAAATTTTTTTCGAACATCTATTTTAATTGTGAGGACTTCTAAATTTTTTGATTTGTTACACTGTATAGAGGAATCTGTTGTGCAGAAATATTTGAAGGAACACCCTTTTACAAAAACCACCCCCTTTGATCTGTTTTTCTGTTTTTCAAAAAATTGTTTTTTTTTTGGGAAATATATATTATCGTGAATTGAAAAAAGGTTTTTTTTAAAAAATCCAGATATCTGTTTCCCAAAAAAAGGGAGGGATATTTAACCATATGGATTTTTTTTTTGAGGCCTCTAAAATTCCATTGAATTATATTCAAAAATTTTAAAAAAAAAAAACTTAACTAGAGAAAATTTATCCCCCCCTTTTTGGAGGAAAAAAAAAATAAACCAATGAAGACAATAATTACCCCCCAAAAAAATTCAAAAAAAAAGGAAAAGTATTTACAAAACCCATCATAATTCCAAATTATCCTATGCCCCAGTTTTTGGGATGCATCACTTTTAGATGCACGTGTTTTATGGATTGGGGATTTGTTACCTAGAGCTTTTTTTTTTTTTTTTTCGTAATGGGGAATGGCTTGATTTTCCCATTTCAAAAATCTTGCTAAGGTGGGAAAGAACCGATTCCATTGTTTTTTGAAAAGCTTGCATAATTAATGAGGTTTGCTTTTCTAAAATTGTTTGGGAAAAATTTTGGGGTGTCAGTAAGCCAGTTTTTTTTAGATGGTCTTGATATTTGAAATAACTGCATTATTCTGGATTGCTGCAGAATAGGATGTCTTTTTATTGTCACGAAATCTTCTTCGCACTTTCCTCCCAATGTAAGATGTTGTTCACATTTCCAATTCCAATATTTTTTTTTCTTTTTATATATTCGAGCAGTTTACTGAGTTGAAGCTGGGTGATCACCTTGCACGCATCTCGAGTTATTAGAACATTGTCCTGGATGCGAAACAATTACAGTTGATACATATTGCTGTTTTTGGCAAAATCTGGTAGAATGGTGTAAAACGAAACAGGTTGTACATTGTCTGGGCTTATCTATGAAATTTTGATTCTGTGATTAATGAACCACAGTTTTTTAGTTTCCGGTAAAGCTGTCCCGGAGTATTGTGATTAATATTGGTGAGAATTGTTGCCGAGTCCCTTTTTAATAAATCTTCTCATTTCTATTATTTCTAAATTATTGGTTTTGTAGTTCTTTTGCAATCTCATCCAGAGATATCAAGTGGAATCATAAATCAGGAATCTAGTTGTGACTCCTCCCAAAGAATATTAGTTTTAACCGACACGTTTAAAATTTTTTCAAGAGATAGTATTTTGTGCTGCACATACTGGTCTGGCGTAGAAAAATCTTATTTTTCCATTACGGGTAAAGACATACTTTATGTTCTCATGACGAGCACTTCTACCTTTTATTTCTGCATGTAATAGTTGTGGGTTGGATTTGAATCTGAGAGGATCCTTGACTACTTCTACTAATATATTGATTTCAGATATAATTTTTGCCCAGCTTCCGTATAAAATGATTCTGCATCCCCTTACAGAAGATCTGAAGAATTTTGAAATTTCTGATTCCATTATTGAAATATTAGTGTTTATAGGTTGCTCCTCAACATCGGTGATGAAAAACTGGAATGACTCAGCTTGAATCTTTTAGAAATTGAAAATTACTAAAAAATCACAAACCAAAAGGAAGTGGAAAAAAAACCCTCTTTGCTCTGGAAGAGGAACCAACTAAAATAATAATAATAAATAAAAAGGATACAACCTTTTGAGACTTGTAGGAAAATAATACACCACCTCTTCAACCTTTCAACCGACCGCACTGTTCGGTATTCACCAAAGCTCACGTTAACTCACACACGAGCGCTCGAATCCAACTACTGGAGGAAGGATGTTGAAATGCAGTATATGTTTTTTAAAAACAGTTCAGCAGAATAATTTTAAGTCCTGTTTTATAACAGATGAAAGGATGAGTAAAATATAATAGGTTATTCTTATGCACGATTTTATTATTGAGAAGATGAATACAACACTGTTCGTTGTATTTATTTGATCAATTCCTTTGATTTCGGAAATCTCGTTTGATGTAAGAACAGAATGAAAATACCTTTTAAAGTATTCGCATTATTGATTTGTTCTGTGGAAAATTTCTGCTATTTCTATGCTGCCTGGTTTATTGAAGTTTAATTTTACACTTGTTGTTCGATCAGCATTTCCCGTGAACCCAAAGGTTTGTGCAATTAATTTTCAATAGATTTGAGTTTTTTCAAATGGTTTTGCCTTTTGAATATTTTAATATGAGCATTCAAATTCTGCTTAAAGCGTTTTTAAATATGTTATGTTTCTTTATTTTTCTCCAGTGCTTTTGTAAAAAATGAGCCGTGACTTAATTTTATAAATTTAAATCCAAAACTGCACTGTTCTTTGCATGCTTCTTCAGTGATTATTTTTATCCCAAGTTAAAATATTTTTCTTGTTAAAATTATATATAACTTTTGTTTTTATCATATTCCATTTTGTTCTCATTTAATCTCCATAGATGGTGCCACGTATTAGTAGAGTCTCATATTCCTTATTCCGTTCAAAGGTCAATTTTTCTCATCATTTTCTCATTGAAATTAATTAAATTCTTTAATGCTTACAAAGCGAATAAAGAAATCCAGTTGATGTCACCAACTTCAAAACAAGATGAGTATGTAAATTTACGTTTATTTCCTGGCTCTTGTTGCTAATCAAGGAAAGCGATTCGTAAAAGTGAATATTGAGCCATTTATTTACGCGGATTTCAGGGATATTTTTGAAAACGTTTATTGAGAACTATCTAATTTCGTCAAAACATGTCTCGCCCATCCATGATTCCGCAAAAGATTTTTCTATTGATGTTCAGTCCACACGTTAAAAGTCACATGCAGAGTAGTTCTTCTTTATGCTCTACATAATAAGTGGTGGACTCAACGAAAGTGGGTCGATGGGGAATTCTAAAAGTATTAGAAACATGCATTATACTGCCGTTTCATTTTTTCATGTAATACTTGTTGCATTCTTCAACGGATAGTAATTCCTCGGTGGGAGGTACGAAAAGCATTTCACTTAATTATTGATATTCTTACCGGTTCCTGTGCAATACTTAAGAATCCTAACAAAGCGAACCACTTTACATTTCGACGTGGTCCAATCGGCCCATTTGCAAATTTAGAGTCAAAGGCGATAATATAGAGCTTTTGCGACGCAAAATATATCACATTCTTTGAAATGCATAAGTTACTAATGTAACTGAACAATTACTAAGGCAAAGGGAAAAAATCCTATTCACCACGCACCTTTTCACACCAGAGTAAAAGAGCAATCGCCACTACATTGACTCGACGTGCTTTTGAACACGCAACTTTCTGATCTGAAAATACGCGCCACCGTTGAGCAAACAAGCCTCGGTAACGCGTGTATTTGAATATAATATTGACATGATCAGGAATGATGTTTGAGAAATGTATAGTACTTTGGCATTACGTAAAATTCGAATTTCGTAACTGATGTATATTCATCGTCGTGCAATTCCTACGGAGACAGCAAAAAAAAATACAGTTGCCATGGATTCTAACAGTATTGCAACCTGCGTTTTATACATCTGGATGAAGACTCTATGTTTGCAGCACTAGCACGAAGCTATTTTTCTCCTTCCATGATTTGAATTTTTACAAGAGATTCGAGTCCCAGAAACTGCGAAATTAGTAAGGGGGGGTTGACAAGATATTTTCTTATGTAACGATTGGAAAAAATTCCTTTTCTATAGCGGAGCAAAAGCAATACGGGCATATTGACCCGGATGTGATTCGAACACGCAACCTTCTGATCTGGAGTCAGACGCGCTACTATTGCGCCACCGAGTCTCGGCTACTTCCTACATTCTGCGATTCACTGTGAAATTTATAAGAGACAAAAAGTGAAGGTAATTAAAAAACTACCAGTTCTTTTTACCACCATTGTACCTTTTAAAAACGCAGCATAAGAAGAAAATTAGTAAAGGAATCGCACCAGTTTTTCACACGCTTCCTTTTCTGGAATGTATATCGATTTTAGAAACACCAGGAAACATATCGTTACTGGCGAGGATCTGGTAAATTTGGTTTCCGGTGACAAATGCCGCACGAAACCTAGCATTAACTGTTCAATTATAACAATAACGATCACCTGTGAGTTTTAAGTGTAGACAAATTTAACGGGTTTCAATACACCGCATGCAAATTCTTATTCGAACCTCATTGAAAAGCTTCTTACACGAGAAAAACAAAAATCGGAATTTAGAAGATTTTTGTTTTAGAAGGCCTTAAATTCATACTGTTTCTTAAGATGGAAAATAAATTAAAGAAACCAACTTAACTTTTTATTTACCCGGACGTAATTTGAAAACGCAACCTACTGATTTGGAGTCAGATGTGCTACCATTGCAATCCTCCACCGAGTCACACTCACTGGCCTGTTGTAGAAAACAGTATAGGAGGCAAAGAAATCGTAAAAATGGAAAATTTATATAACAAAAAACAACTTAAATTGTGAAACTTTGTTTCTGAGTATAGGTTGTTCAGGCTGTAAGAAGTAGAAGCCATAAAGTTACTATCTTAATGTGCTTATTAAAAGAAATGCCGGATAAAAAAAGACCCCCAAACAAAACTTGCTTCTTGTGTAAATGTCGACTAATTTATTCAAAGGTCTCCTTAAACCAAGACTTTCATCAGAAGCACAGTAGTTACAAAATATATTATTTCTGTATTTTGATAAATTCTGTAAATTTTCTTGATAGATATGAGTTTTCTTCTTTTTTGTTTTAATCTCAGGTTCTAAATTTATGGCTAATTTTTATGAGTTTTTTAATTACGTGTGTTAATACAAGAAAGAATCCTTTGATGGCCTCTTCCAAAAGCCTTTATTTAACAACACCCTCCTTCTTATATAAATATATTTCAGTTTTCGAAAAAAGAAATATATAGATATGAGTGAAGGCGCTGCAACCACTAACAACAAGTCTTAAAATATTTTTAAAATTCGTTGTAGTGAAAAGAATACGACTTAGAGTTAAAAAAGTTGAAAAGATGTTAAAAGAAATTTTATTTAAAGTAGCTAAAAATACATTTTCTGTATATACAACACCACAAAATCAAAAAATGATCCGAATGCGCAGAAACTCAGCACCCGCATGAGCCAAGAAAACAATGTTTTGATGAGAACAAAAGAAAATTGGCAGGCATAGTAACAAAATAGTATGTTTATAAAAAATAAATTCTTCCTGTGAATCATGAGAAATGCGTTTCGGATGGCTTACCACTAGAGGCTGTCCGTAGGTGTCGATTGGACACCGGGATCTGTTTAGTTGGTTCTCCTTTTCGAATTTTTGCTCGAAATTTCAAAATTTTTCGTAACTCTTAACCCTCAACGACATACACCCATGCATGTAATATATGTAAGGAAAATATGTAATCTCTATTTTTGATAGATAAAACACCCAAAACACATTAAGCATATGCAAGTAGAGCTCCAAGTAAGCAAAACATATTGCATATGGAATGAGTGAGTGAGTCTATGATTGTTAATGACACATTTCAGAAATTATACGATATATTTAACATATTGTTTATACGCCAGTAAAATGACAACAAGTGGAGATTCTGCGCCTTTAAAAAAATAAAATATTTGAGATGAAAGAAAACTGTGTCACCATCATAAACTTTGTTTAAAAACGAAATGGTTGATTACTTTGTGTTGATATTTACCAATACTTTGACTGTGAGGTAGTGATGTATGGTGCCGTATGATAATTATGAAGTTATCAATGTGTTTATTTATGTGAGCATTAGATACGCAGCAAAGTGAGGCAGTAAACGCTTGGCATTCTATGGAATGCCTGTGTTTCATACTTTGCCGATATTAAAGGGCATAACGGATGTTTTTAGATACAGTATGAAATATGAGAATATTTACATGCTTTTACCAATGCAATTTAGGCAAAGTATAAGAAAATGGTCCTGTGATCAGTCTATTATATCAATGACAAAAATTCCTAAGAAATACAAATAACACTCCGAAAAAATAATATAAGAATGCCCAAAAAATTATTCAAAATACATAAGGAGAATGAAAGTTGTACAAAACAAATATGAGTATATGCCTTTACTATGAAAAAACAAAAAATTTTCCTACAAAAAAAATAAGATATTAAAATTAATCTACTTGTTGCAACACATGAAAAGGTATGAATTCATTAATTTTGAATTTCATCTCATGATATTTTTTCATGCAATGACAATTTGATTTTAGCATCTCTTTGTTTTTACACATACATTTGACGAAAAGTCCACAGGAATAAGCAAAATGCAACCGGACCGGAGAAAATCAAATTTCGTGGTCAGTGTAATATGGCCCGCAATTCTCTTAGGTACAATGAATTCTGTGATTTCGAATATAAATGTTTTAAAATTCTTTCAGAAGTTCCATGTTCGGTAGAAACCATTCTAATTCACACTCATTACAAGTGCCCATATATTGGCATTCGAAAAAATATCATAGGTTTAACAACAATGCCGCTTTTCATACTTTTCTGTTTTTTCTGTAAGGTTCACAAAGGTAGATGTACAGTTCAATATCATGGCTTGTAACGCTTTTGCATTTGGTTCAAAGTTGTTTCAGAATTCTATCATGTCAAATTCTATCACGTCCAATGGCCAAATAAGCTTCATGAAGTACGTAAAATAATTCAGATCCGTGACGTAATACTGTATAGTACTGACACTTTCTTTAACACTTTAACTTCGTTATTTTGATGTTTGGGGGTCCAAAAATTTTCAATTTTTTATTCAAAAAAACAAATGTTATTTTTTTTCCGAGGTCTTCAGTAAAGTGCTGCCCATTGAATTGAGGGACATTCTTTTCCCCAAAAAAGTCGGGGTTTAAAAAAAGAGATAAACCCTAAAAACTCCCGAAAATATTCAGGTAAACCCTGGGTCCCCAAAAAAAAACCCCGGGTTTTTCGGGCGGACATTTTTGAATACCGGCTGGCCCGGTATTTCCCGGGGATGACGTTAAAAGGTTTTAACAGAGTAAATGAGTTTACTTTTGTTTTCTACAATCACCATATCATAGATTCAGCAACCAATAATCCCTCGTTAAGATTTTTTTTTTTTTGGCAGCCTTAACTCAAATTTTGGGCAGTTTGCACACGTCATCGATTAGTTGTTTAATGTTGATAGACCACGACTCTTTCTCCAGAACTACAGTCGCCCCATTTTTTTGCAGACAGGGAAAAACTTTTTTTTTTTTTTTAATAAATGGAAAATTGCCCATTTTACAAACCCAAAGAAAAATGAGACAAATTTTTAGAGGCGTGTTAAAAAAAACTTTCCTTTCCCATCGAAAAAGTTTTTTAAAATATTTTTATTTTGCCGGTTTCTCATTTAACATTCTATAGAATGCCTAGATAATGTGTGAACATGCATTACGGGCTAGTCTTAGGCTTTATATACAATGCCTAGGTATTCTATAGAATGTGGATTTATGCCGGTAACATATTTATTTAATATACATTTTAGGGAAACATATCCACATATAATACATACAGAGAAGTTGCACCCAAGTAAACTCTTATAAGTATTCAACATCTTAAGTCTGAGCCAAAAGATTTAAAACGCAGGGAAATATTGAAAAAACAAAATAACATATTTATTACTTTTATTAAATATTATAAACTTATAATCAAGAGATGAACAAAAAGTCAGTTCATCTCTTCATAAAGTAAATAGTAAGTAAACATACATACTACAATTGACAAATGTTCATGTGATTTGGAGTAAAAGTTTTGTACTAAGAAATATTGCGGAAAAGTACGAGAAACCAATTCTCAAACCGTTACGTACATTAAAAAAGTGTATTTGGGTTTTTGTTATTTGAGGATTTACAAATTGGGGGCGCGTAAAATTCACATATCATTAACCCGCGGTCCCGCGCCTGTTTTGCAGCGATTGGGGGTGTAGAGAATACCCAAACTTTTTCAAGTGTATTTAATTTTGAAAAAAAAATTAAGTCAATGATAAAATTTATAAATACAAATGTTTTGCATTATACAAAAAATTTTTAAATTTATTGAACAAATGAGACTAACATTAATTTAAACAAACATACAAAATTTTCATTTTAAAAACATAATTTTATGTTTTTTTATAAATTAGTATATTTTAAAAGTTTTACCAGTAATAAATATACTTTTAATTTTGAGAGGGAAAAATTAAAAGTAGAAAAAAAATATTTTTAATATTTTCCAAACATTCAGAGGAAACCCAAATGCTCAACTTTCGCAAACTCAGCTCCCCAAAAAAAATTTTTGGTAATTCATTAATCGTTCGGGGAAAAGGGAGCATCGGCCGAAAGGTTCAATGACCTAAATGTGCGTACAGAAAAAAAACGTGGTTCTGCGCATTTTTTTAGGATCCTGGAGGATTTTCTTGTTGCTGGGGTGTACAGAACACCCCGCGTGAGTGATCGCGGGTTAATTGTATATATTTCTATATTTTTAAGTTTTGTTTTTTGAAAAACAAAACATGTATTGAGTTTTTGAAAAATAATCTGATATTTTTCTTTGCACTGCAGTTTTTTATTTTTTTAGAATCAAACTTTTAAAATGGTTTTTGTGATAATGATGTCGGGTGAATGAGAAGTGAGTCTGTAGGGTTTATAGGTAAAAGCGCTTCGATCAAAATGTCTGAAACATTTGTCTAAAGTACCATAAAATTTTGAAAAATTCTAAGCATTAAAAACAATTTGATGTGAATAAAGTATGTTTAAAAAGTAGGTATCGTGTAAAAAATTCATATATTAATGTTACACAATTAAAATGCAAGACAAAGTATTAGAAAAGTGAAAATAAAACATACGGAGTGAGTGAATATTAACGTCGCACTGTTCAGCTACACGAGGGATTTTGGCGACAGACTTCGTAATTTTGAACCATGGTCAAGTGACGAGGACGACTCCTGAGCTGGGTACTTTCATTTCATTATCGGGATTTTGTTCTTTTGTGTGCTTCTGTCTATTTTTTGGATTTTGCTTAAAATTTTTTGGAGCTTTAGATGCAGTAGAATGTGGACTATTAGATGTGGTAGAACCAGTATCAAGTAAAGGGACTGACAACTGAATTTGATAATGATATAGGTGTCATAGCATTCAGACAAAAATTCAACTAAAAATCTTTACTAATGTTTATTTTTCTTTCAAATCGCTTCACCTAAGGTACCTATCAAAATTCCGTATGTTAACAATGTGCCAAAGCTAGTAATAACCAGAGATCTATCCACGACATAAATCTTCCATAAAGTTAGGTTAGTCTCCTTTGTGCAAAGTTCTTGAAGTTTTGTTTCCCTCACATCCCGAGCAAATCTGTATTTAAATCTCTGAAGAGTATTCTTAACTTCTTTCGCCATT